GTGCAGGAGTGGGACGGCCCCCCGGGTGGGGAGAGATGGAGCGGAGCTGGCGTCCCAGAGGAGGACGGTGAGGAATTGGGACGGCGGGGAGGAGGCGGCTGGCCCCGGGAAAATGCCGGAGAGGCTGGATTAGAGGAGGTTGGGCAAAGAACCAGGGTTGCTTGAGGAAGTGTCCAAGTTTTACATCATGTGCCTAGTAAACAACTTGTTGACCTCTAGTCACTCAAGCTAATGCTTGCTTCTATATTTGGTTTCTTTTTATTTTTTGTTGGTTTTTTTAACTACAGAAATTATAGGAGGAGGCAGGATAAAATTGAGGTGTAGTAGGGACCCAAATGTTGCCACTTGAAAATAATTTTTAATGTACAGTAAGTACTGCCTAGTTTTATCAGTTTTTTGTATTACATATCCAATGAGATTATAAACTAGCCAATTTTACTCATATGTAAAAGGTAATGTTTCTACTTTTTTCCTGTCATCAATAAGCGAGCAATAAAGATATGGTCGTGCCCTAACTGGTTTGGCTCAGTGGATGGAGGGTCCCGGCTTTGATTCTGGTCAAGGGCACATGCCCAGGTTGCGGGCTTGCGGGCCCCCTCCCCCACCCCAGCGTGCAGCAGGCAGCCAATCGATTCTCTCATCATTGATGTTTCTCTCTCTCTCTCTCCCCTTCTCCCTTCCTCTCTGAAATAAATAAAAGTATATTTTAAAAAAAGATATGTTCATTAAACTGGAAGATTTGTGCCCTGGCCCGGCGGCCAATTTGGTTGGAGGGTCCTTCTGTATACCAAAAGGTTGCGGGTTCCATTCTGTCAGGGCACATGTTGCAGGTTCATCCAGGTTCTGGGAGCTTACTGGAGGAAACAGATTTTCTTTCTTTCTTTCTTTCTTTCTTTCTTTCTTTCTTTCTTTCTTTCTTTCTTTCTTTCTTTCTTCTTTCTTTCTTTCTTCTTTCTTTCTCTCTTCTTTCTTTTCTTTTCTCTCTCTCTCACCAATCTCATCTCTCTCTCAAATCAATTTCCTCGGCTGAGGGGAAAAAAAACCTACACTGGAGGATTTGTTCCCAAATGACCCAGATCCATATCCAATTATGATTTTGACCTGAGGAAGACGTAAACGAGAAGGGTGGGGGTTGTTGATCTCTAGACCAAGCTGACGGTTGTTTATTTTGCTATACAAATCCAGAAGCCTCACAACTGCCGGTTAGTGCCCTTGAAAACCTAAGCGATTTGGCGTGACTGGGTGGGGAGATGAGTCACAGGGAACACAATTAAAGGACATCTGATCGAGGTTCATATTCCCCGGCAGCCACGAAAACCAAATGGAGTCATGCTGCTGCCAGAAGGGCAAAGCAGGTGGGAAGGGAAAGGAGGAGAAGTGTGCGAACTAGTATCCAAGGCTGGTAAGAGCGTTAGCAGAGTAAATGGACGCAGGGCCACATTCCACTGCTCCGAGCGCCACCAAAAAAAAAAAAAAAAAAAAAAGCAAACATCCCCTAAAACTCTAATATAATTGGAGAGAGGAAATCACCAAGGCGGAAAGGAAGGATCTGACTAGAAAACGAGGAGAAGCAGAAACGAAGCCAAGAAATGACTGCATTGAAAGAAGGGGGTGGGGGCGGGTAACAGATCAACCGAAGGACTTGTATGCATGCATATAAGCACAACCAATGGACACAAGACTCTGGGGGGTAGGGGAGGCCGAGGGAATGTCAAGGGGGGAAAAAAAGGAGACATATGTAATACTCTTCGTAATACTTTAGGCAATAAAACAAAATTTTTAAAAAAGAAAGAAGGAAGAAACTGCGTAAGGCAAAAAGAACCACAACAGAGACCACGTGGTTACATTACCGCTCCGGTGGAATCAAAACAAACCTGCGTGGGCCCGCCCAGCGCCGGTCACATGACTTACACGTGATCGGCGCTTCCGGGAAGCGCCGGTAGCAACCGCTGGGATTCCTTTCTGTGCACCGGCTGCAGAGCAGAGCCTTGGCACCGCTGGGACCTCTCTCGCTCTCCACTCCACGTTTTGGTTTCGGGCGGAGCTGGAGCCGTG